CTATGTAAAATGTAGCGTTACTGCTTGAAATATAAAGTATCTTCAGACTGTACTGTTACTTGCTACGATAAAATATGAAGAAGTTCGACACTTAGTGTTACTTGCTATGTAAAATGTAGCGTTACTGCTTGAAATATAAAGTATCTTCAGACTGTACTGTTACTTGCTACGATAAAATATGAAAAAGTTCGACACTTAGTGTTACTTGCTATGGAAAATGTAGCGTTACTGCTTGAAATATAAAGCATCTTCAGACTGTACTATTACTTGCTACGATAAAATATGGAGAAGTTCGACACTTAGTGTTACTTGCTATGGAAAATGTAGCGTTACTGCTTGAAATATAAAGCATCTTCAGACTGTACTGTTACTTGCTACTTAAAACTGAAAGAATATTGTAGCTATAGTTTTTTCTTCAGATGTATGAAAATTAAAACAACTTTGTACTTTAGTGTTTTACCTATATAAAAACTAAAGCTGTAGTGTTGAAGCTATGTCAAGAATTTAGTGTTTCCACTCGATGAACACTTAAAAGAAATGGCGATAGTACTGTTTATAGCTAAGTATAATACAAATGTTGCCATGTCCGTAATATTTTCAGCTTTTTAATAACGTAAACAATGTTAACATGTTAATTCTGCCACCTCAGTAACCAGATCATGATCCAAAGTTTAAAATGTTTTTGTTGTAACTCCTGTTCCGTGTGCACAAATCCAATAGGTAAGTAGAGCAGAAAAACATTTGAAAAGTTTTTGTTGTTATAAAGAAATGGCTATTTTTCAGGTTACTTTAGTAACCTGACTAAAGTAACCGCATAATAGAATTCAATTACTGCTAACCAAGTATATAAGAAAACTGATTAATATATTCATCTTAATTTAATACGAATAGTGAGTTTAATTGGTACTGTAATTAAATGAAAATTGTGTTTAAGTGTCTCAAAAATACAGACGTTTAATGCTTTCACCCACAATTATTTATGAAACGTGAAACTTCGAGTTTCTCTTAAAGTCCACAAGATCCATTCAAACATTCATTGCAATATTTCCAAACCCTCCCACCTCACATTCCACGTTAATAACGTTCCTACAAACACGTTGGATTTGTGTGTTTCCTTTTAACTCTATAAAACTATCCACAAAACTATTTTGATTCTTCATTTCCTCCTCACCCCGAAATCCAAGTTAGGTCTAGGATTTATGAATACAACAACAACACACACACTCATTAATAATGTTTCTTAGAATTGCTCTTCATACGTGAAATTGCAAGGATCTTTAGAACAATCACACGCCCATTAATTAATAACTTTCAGTACAGATGCTTTTCACTCATTTTTCAAGGTTCTTCAGTATATGCTCACAACAAATAATATCAATCCCTTCCTATTCCTAAATTACTCAGGATATGGGTTTTAGAGTGGAAAAATCTTAAACAGAGATTTAATGATAAATGAACAACTTAGGTGATCTGTTTTACTCCACAAAACATATTCTCAGCAATAACTTCGGCACTTCCCATCCTAATCCCTAAGTTTTACAGGATCTGGATTCTAGAGGGAAAATATAAAATAAAAACCTATTGATATTCCTCAGATGCCAAACTTGTGGTGTTTTTCTTAACTTACAATATGTATCGTCAAGAATAATTTCGTCACCTCACCCTTCCCCATCAGTAAATTTATCATAGACTGTGTTTCAAAGAAACAAATCTGTAAAACATTGTATCATTAATGTCTTTCCTTAGAAATATTGATTTACGTTGTTTTGCTGATTATTTTGGATTACCTAGTACAGAGAATAATATGAAGTCCAATCTATTTAATGATAACACAAACTTTTATTTCTTTAAGTTCCAAGTTTAATATGCCAACTTTCACCTATAAGCCTACTTCATAAATAAATTACGCCTCACATAAAATATAATTGTTATCTTGATTGTTTATTGAATTTCTCGCAAAGCTAATCTGCGCTAGCCGTCCCTAATTTCAAAGTGATAGACTAGAGGGAAGGCAGCTAGTCACCATCACCCACCGCCAACTCTTGGACTACTCTTTACCAACGAACAGTGGGAATGACAGTCAAATTATAACGTCTCCATGGCTGGAAGGTCGAGCAAGTACGAGGAGGAGATTCGAACCTAGAATTCTACTTGCTAGTTTTGTATATCTGTTTCTTCATTGAAACACAAAATCGATATTCATAGCACTGAACTAACTAATTGGCTGACAGTAATACATAAACTTACTAAATCGGGCAATAACTTTAGTTTAACTCTTTTTTTTTTCACATATGGCTCGAACTCTTTTGTAAATTTATAGAGTTCTGGACATTAAGATCAGGATCATTGAGCTACGCCAGCTTCTTCCTGCTAAACTCTATTTTCTACAAATGTCTAGATTGAAAACATAGACTATAACAATATCTCTTTAGACGTCAAATTTCGGGATTTTCTTTTACTATATAATCATTACTGATTTTGGACTGTAAATCCGAGGGTTCAGAGTTCGCGGCTCATTCCGTAAAAACGCGCTCCGCACTTTGGAACTATGGGTGTGCTATGAGAATGACGGTTGAATTCCACTATTTGGTCAGACAAGTGTAACTTACGAGTTAGTGGTGAATACTGTTGACCAGTTAACATTCCTCTAGTTCAAAATTATGGACGGCTATGCGTAATAACTATTTCTGTAGGTTTGCAAGAAAATTCTGAAGCAAACAAAAAATCTCTTCCACGTCGCAGACTCGGATTACGAACATTTTATACATTATATTAAGAACTGCTGTTTTAAAACATTAGAATAAAAAAGTTTGAATATCTGCGATTAATGGTTCAAGAACAAATTATATAGCAATGTGGTACTGACTAAATTTCTACCATACTCGTGGAGGGCAAGACATCAAAACCTTGATATTAGCGAACACTGATATAATGTAACTTCACTTAAAGTAGAAGAATAAATAGCTAGAATTTGTTCTACAGAACATGTTACAAAACAAGTGTTAACTAAAATTAAATTCGGAAGTTCAAAAAAGAGAAGAAACAAAGATTGTGAAAAATACACTCTGAACGAATCGTGTCCAAGATAAGCATTGTGTTTCTGCCTCCTATGTGTTCTCCCTTTTAAGAGCCTGTTTGTAGACAAACGTTTTAACCCATTGTTTTTTGTTTCTTTTCATAACACCTACCACGGTGTAAAGTCGTTTTCCTTTCTACATGCTTTCTATTTAACAACAGTATCACTTACATTATCATTATTTACAGGAATCAATTCAGCGTTACATTTATGGGTACCAGATTAAAGATGAATATGGTACGATTCAGTTTCGCAAAGAAGAAACTACAGGCGATAGAGGTGTCAAAGGATCTTATGGTTACACAGATGCTTCTGGTCTGTACCGTAAGGTGGAGTATGTTGCTGATGTCGACGGTTTCCGGGCTATTATAAAAACGAACGAGCCTGGAACTGCCAGTAAGAATTCTGCTGATGTTAAGATAACCAGTGAATATGGGCAGCAGCCAAAAACGTCTTCATTAAAAGAAAACAGTGATTCCAACGTAGAAAAGGCTCCATTTATTGGCTATCAGCCACCTTATTATTATCCATCGGCATACAATTCTGCTTTTGACCCTGACTATGCTTCCCTGCACACCACCTCAGAAGCGCCATCTACAATTACAGAAGAGTCAGAGGACAGCACAGAAAAATCCAAATAATAATCTATTTGTTTTACAAGACGTTTCTTTACCAATTGTTCTTTAATACGATTTCGAGTTTGGGATTAATTTCTGGAAATCAATTTTGGTAAGCGCACGTTACCGGGATATTAGCTATTTTTAATCGTAAAGTTTGAGTTTATACTTACAATTCATTTTGAAATATTAATATAAAATTATTCTCACGAGCACTAAAAGTCTGAACTATAAATCCCGTATTTAATTTTTAAAACTACACACTAAACGGTATAATTTAAATTGGAATAAAGTAGTTTAAACATTAGATTACTTAAATTTCTGTAACAAATAAAGAGAAATGTCCTAAAATAGAAATGATGGAAGGGTTAATGTAGGATAATATTCACAATTGAACGATTAATGTGCACTATGCAGAGTAACTTAAGTTAATTATTTATATTTATTTACCACCTGGTTGAAATGTGTTTACTGCAAAAATTTTTCTTACCACACTAAAAGGGTTGTTTTTGTTGACTACATTTTGTTGGTTGTTACTTCTGTTAACCGGTCTTGTAATTTATTATTATATTTGAAATAAAATACATCTTAAAAGAATTATTTGTATTTATCCTTGTCTAATATCCATAAAAATATCATTTTCAGACTAGTAGAGACTCGCGAAACACTTACCATCAAATTTGTTTGTTTGAATTTCGCACAAAGCTACGCGAGGGCTATCACCGCTAGCCGTCCCTAATTTAGTAGTGAAAGACTAGAGGGAAAGCAGCTAGTCATCACCACCCAACACCAACTCTTGGGCTACTCTTTTATCAACGAATAGTGAGATTAACTGTCACGTTATAACGCCTCCACGGCTGAAATGGTGAGCATGTTTGGTGTGACAGGGATTTGAATCCGCGGCCCGCAAATTACGAGTTGAGCGCCCTAACCACCTGGCCATGCCAGGCCTGATCAAATTAGTATCTTTATTTTAACAGTACTTCTTAAAATAGACGATTTATAGAAGAATACAAAAGAATTCTAATCACAGACAACAAAATTTATACGACGACTTGTCTTAGGACTAACATTAGTTAAACCTTAATTAAATACGGCCAAGGCCGAGCGAACTCAGCGACTGCACAGGGCGCAACTGCCCTGGGAGTGCCAAAAGCCTTTCGTAAAATTATTGACTGCATGAATACAGGTGCCTCGTAGTGCCCACTAGTTTCTCCATGATCCTTTAAGTCCTATTTTAAGATATGTTGCATATATATATATATACATGTCATTTTATCAGTATTATAGTTGAAGTGGTGTGAAAATGTTGATCTGGCGTATGAAGTCAATAAAGAGAAAAAAATTAATAAAAATAATATAAAATGTAAAGAATCTATAGAGCAACAAATGCTCATTCCTCCCGGGGCGCCATTTTGGCTAAAGCTGGTTCTAAGTACGACCTGTATTCGATAAAGAGATAAATTAATACTGTAACTTGTTTACGTTTTGTTGTTGTTGTTTAGTTTAGTTAGGGCTAAACTTTACCGTACTATCAATAACTAAACTTATATTGTTGTTCTACGACCTAACGTTAGATCTTTTTAAAAATTATGATAAGCTTTTAATATTGTTACGTATCTGCTTGTTTGTTAATTTCTGGTAGAAATTCTTTCCGAATAACTTCAGCGATACAAATCCTCTCTTGATTGAAACTAGTTTATTCTTTCTTGATACAACTTTTAGTAATACACAGAATTGCCACAGTCACTTTAACTTAACTACTTTTATAAACATACGCTATAATTCACAGCGATTCACACACTTTATTTACGGTGCCTACTGTTCGCTTGACTCAATTATCAATATCTACAATCTATCTATCTCTGACTTTTTTTTTGCCGGGCTTATATACTAAAAAAGAGGGCACCTGGCAAACTTTCGGACATTCGCGGAGTTCCTCGATAAGTCAAGATCCTTCCTTAGTATTGTTCGTACCGAATAATAGCCACTTACATTAAACCAATAGATAATTAACAATAACTTAATTAATGTACAGAATTTACAAACACAAAATTAAAATACAACAAAGTCTCTTAATTTTACAGGACGTCTCTTATGCTTGGGTTTTACTGGATAGGTATGGGGCAAGATGTGGAAGAATGGTGCAGGACATGCACAGTGGCTTCATGCTCTGCTGTCCTATAGGCCATCAACAGTGGAGGGAGGAAGACATCCCAGTCATCTTGGCAGCTATTACAAAACTTTCCCAATTCCTGTCCCAGTGTCTACCATCCCATCAGACTGTGGGTGAAGTGGCATTGTCCTGGTGTTTCAAATGCCAAACAACTTGCAGCATTCTTAGAACACAGCTGATTCGAAGTTATGGCCTTGATCTGAATGCAGTTCGTATGGCATACCAAATCTGAAAGAGAAATCACTAACAGCCGAAGCTACAGTTGTAGCTTCCTGATTTGGTATTGCATATGCCTCAGACCACTTGGTGAAATAATCCATCACCACACAAATGTACTTGTTTCCAGCACGAGTTTGGGGCAGAGGATCAGCAATGTCAATGGCTACTCTTTCCATTGGTGCGCCAACTTGATATAACTTCATTGGAGCACGTCCCTTATGCTTGGGTCCCCTTTTAGCACAACATGTCCAATACACTCCAGCAAAGTTGATGTTTGGTCGGGAACTTCGGTTGCCAGTGGATCTGTTAACAGGACGCCCACCTTATGAAGAGTTGCCTGAAAATGTGTCAAAGTTTGTGAAAGTGTTATCGAAAAGGATGGATGATAGTCACCATCAAGTGCGTTCAAACTTGAAAACGTCTGCTGATTCGATGAAGTTATCTTATGATAAGAGATCTACTGAAGTCCGCTTTGTACCAGGAGACAAGGTGTGGTTGTATAATCCCAGGAAGACCAAAGGGAAGTCTCCTAACTTGCCTTCTACATGGGAAGGTCCATATGACATAGTGGATCGTCTCTCAGACGTGACTTTCCAGATAAAATGTGGTCGGCGAAGTAAGCTAAAGGTGGTGCATGCCAACAGGTTTTGGCGTTATCACGGTCCAGGACATTTCAGTTGGGACGAAGTGAACAACAGAACAAATGACGCTGCTGAAGACGTGTCACCTGAAAAAGCCACTGTTGAAGAAAAATTCTACTCGGTTTTGAGAAGGAAAACAGTAAAGCCCTTGATAAAGTTACTACCACTGATGTGACTATGTGACTATGTGACTACATGTGATTGTAATGTTACGTCTCCGTTTGTTAATTGATTTTCCGTAAATTCGTTCAGACGAAACTTTAGCGACACAAGTCCTCTCTTAAATAAAACTGGTTTATTCTTTCCGAATACAACTTAACGATGCACTCAAGTTCAACAGTTGCGCTATAACAAACACTATAACGAACAAACGTTAACTTCAACAATACGTCTCTCTCTGACTGCAGTTCAATTACTCATTACCTACACACATATTATTGTTCTGTCACGTTGTCATCCTCTTATATATATACCAGACCACCCTCCAATCTAGTAAATGCTAGAGCACTCCCGAAGGAACGGGATAGTTCTAGAAAGCAGGTGGCGTGACAATAGTCATGTGATCTCGCTGACACAACAGTAATATTGTGTTTGTAAATTCTGTACATTTAATTAAGTTAATGTTAATTATCTATTGGTTACATGTAAGTGGCTATTGTTCGGGACGAACAACACTAAGGAAGGGGCAGTGTTATGATAGTGGAAGTCACGTGACGCTGGGAGCATGCGCATTGGAGTTTCTCGAAGGGTCATGAATTATCGAGTAACCCCGCGAATGTCCGAGTGTTTGCTAGACGCCCTCTTTTTTAGTATATAAGTCTGGCGTGAAAAACCAGCGGGATCGATGATATAGATAATTGAGTCAAGTGAACAGTAGGCACTGTAAGTAAAGTGTGTGAATCACTGAGATTTATAGCGTGTGTTATAAAAATAGTTAAGTTTAACGTACTGATTGGAAATTCTGTGTATTACAAAGTTGTATCGAGGAAAAAACAAACTGGATTTATATCGCTGAAGTTCCTCGGAAAGAATTTATACCGGAAATTAACAAACAAGTAGATAGCAACAATATATATATATATATATACCATTGTTGTTAATTTCTTTTCTGTGTCTCATTTTTACTGTGAGCTTTCTGGAACCTTGTTGTATATGCTTTGCGGAAATTATTTATGGTTTAACTAAATTTATTACTACTGTAAAGCGACAGAATTTAAATTTAAGTAGGATTAGTTGGTTTAATAATTATACTCATATTATAATATGTTTTGTGTATTATTTTTATATTATTTTTAACTTGAAAATGAAGTTAGGGAGAAAAATATCTTTATTCTCGAGATAAAAATATTAATAATAAAAATTTTTATATTTCATCTAATGTTTTGATAAGAAACTAATATTAATATCCTACGTGAAAAGATCCCACCCCCTCCAGTGGTTCAGGCCTACTTACTATAAACCGTGTCTCGATATTCGTGGTGGGACGGCATTGTTTTTTCGTTTTGTAGCTTTTCGCTTAGTTACGGGCAAAGATGTGAACCAGCTTCTTATGCGGAGGAGTCTGAACAGTTGAAAACTACTGGTGAGGGACAGTACTGAATCATAGGAGTGACGTTTAGTTGTGAAAAAAAAAAGGATATATTTTTAATGCAAGGAAACAGTAATATAGTATTAGTATTACAACATGTTGTTGTAGCACTATAATTTATAAATTAAATATTTGATTGAAAACTAATTAAAATATATAACCTTGGAGTTCCGTTGTCCATTCATCTCGATAATTTCAGCTTGATAATACTAATAGTAATACTTTTTTGAAAATATGCGCGATTTCTCACTGACCAATTCAACTGACACATCAATAATTTAGAAAAACGTCTAACCAATATCAAGTGAGTGTACTAATACCGATGTACTTAAGTTATTGTAAAAGAAAAAATAATTGTAGGATTTAACACTGTTTAGTGTTACTGTTAGGTTGCAATTTGTACGAAAGCGTGGTGAAGTGATAGGAACTTGGAAAGTATCATCCATCTTTAAACTTTTTACTGTTATTATTACAAAACTCAAAAGAAACGCTTTGAATTATGTCAGATGCTGAAGAAAAGAACGTTGATAAAGACACAACAGGAAAGGAAATACTCGGTAAGGTTTTTCATTGTATTACTAGTAAGTTGTAAGCACTAAAGCAGAAACTAAAGTTGTATTTGCCAATAATGTTTCCCTCACGATGAAATTGAACGTCATAATTATTATTAATATTATTATTATTACTTATGGTATATTTAACTTGTACTATAACTTATAATTACTTACATCATAAATAAATTGTAATACTAATAGTTTTATTCTTCCAACTCGTTATTTTGTAAATTTCAAGAGAGGTATATGATTCTCAATTTATTAAGTTTTGACATTTATATTATGCCATACTTTTATTTTCTGTTTACTATGAAAACATTCCTATATTATAGGAATGTGAATAGTATAATAAAATTCCTTAACTCAACAAATCGTTATACTATTTCAAAATTTCTTTTTAATAAGTTATTATGATAAATCCCTCTTCGACTGAGAGCTTAAACCTAAAGAGGTCCTCCACTCTAGGCTCTTCAAAACAGTATTTTTTTAAGACCTCATTTGGAGTATTGTGGAAAGACATTGGCTAATTGAGTTATTGAAGAAATTTCAGAGAAGGGCAGCAAGGATGAATGGGTTGTTAAATTGTTATATGAGGATAGACTGAGATCTCTTACTCCTGAAAAGAAAAAGGTTAGGGATGATCTGATTGAAAAAAAAAAAATGCAGCAGATAAGCTGTTGTCACTTGTGAGTGACTGCTATCACTAGTTTAGATGGGAGTATGGGAAGAACATTGTTTATAAGACAAGGAAGCAGATAATAATCTTACAATTCTACACAAATAAAATAATGTTAATAAAAGCAAAGTAAAAAAAGCTTTATTAATTAAAATTTAAAGGCAAAAATAACTTGTAATGTGTAAAATTATATTTATTTGAAAAGTAAATTTTGAAACCCTGAACTTTTAAGAAAAAGTTAAATATTAATGATAGCTCTGAAAGATTTAAATATATACATAGTAGAAAACATGTATTTGCTATTATTCTAATAATAGGGAGTTTAAGAAGAAAATGAACGATCATTTTAGTCAGAAAACTTCTTACAGAATCAGAAACTTTTCAATTTACAATTACACTTTAAAGAATATTCAAAACTTCCTTATTATGCAAGTACAGTACTATAAGAAAGAAAAAAATTAATCAATTTTTACAGACTTTCTGACCCAGTGCATCTTACTCTGTCAGTAATACTTGGTTATGCTTGAAGGAACAAAATGATGCAAAACTGTCATGGCAGAACTTGAAAAATCATTGGTGTACAATACTGGCATCACCCTGTACATGTACTGTAATTGGAAAAGTGTAAAAACAAAACACTCTTAAATTCCAACTTCTTGATATTGTTCACTCTTCCATATCAAGCATCTGTCTGAAATATTTTCAAACACAAAGTGAAAAGTAACTGGCAGAATATAATATTTTTATATGGCAGTGTGCCACTTTGAATCTGAAAAAGTATAACACTTATCTATAGAATGTAGTTTTTCTCAAGAATAAGTTTACAGATCTTGCACTACTATTAACTTGATTCTGAGCATATATTTTTTACAAAATATTCTCTATCTTAAAGTTGATAAGAAATTGTTTAAAAAATTACAATAGTTTAAGTTACCAAATCTCAAAAACAGCATGTTAAAAAAATTAAAAACCTAAAGTTGTAAAGAAATCATCCATCAACCTTATTCAACTAGTAAAACTTGAACTTTCACATATAAAATTGGCAACCAGATGTCAGTTTGTCTCTCATGTACTAAAGCTTATAATACAAAAGATGGAGTATATTACGTTAAAACTATTTTGAGTATGTCAATCAGCAAGCCACATGATAATCACAGCAAATATAAAATCATGGTGTAATTTGACATTGTTTAGTGTTTTGTAGGTAGTGTGATGCTACTGAAAATTGATTGATTTTGGAAAAGGTATGTAACATCTTATTCCAATGCAAAATATTCTTACACTCGGATCATAAAGATGTGTTTAAATTTCAGTACAGTACATTACCTCCGCTCACATAAATAGCTATTCTCATTCAGGGCTGCCTTCTATATGCAAAAAAAAATATTAATTTTTTTACACATGCCACAAGCCTTCTATTTTCCCTCCACTGGAATTACATTTCTCATGTAAATCATCATACGTCAACTCTCCACCAATAGGAGTGTGACATACTCTCATGACGCATGTGACTCCCTGTATTTCATTCTACCTAACTATCACTTCTCATTTGGCAGTACTCGAGTTCAGACATTTTTTGCTTTTGAGGCTTTTCATGTGCTTTGCATTCGTAAATTTAGTAGTTTGAATTCCAAAGTGGGATTTCTTCATTAACTTTTTTGTTATATTTAACATGCCTTTTGCTTTAACTTCATTTCCCAGTCATTATTTATTTCTCTCACATTTACATTTGTTTATCAAACATTTTTGTTTGATTCTTATTTCTGAAATAAATTCTGAGATTCATATTACCACTTCAGGTATCATACCTCTTCAAGCACTCTTTCACAGGCTACAGGTGGGGGTGACCTGTCGTTGGACTTATCAGTGATTATCCACTGAAAGATTGATCATTATATGGGTCAACCACCTTCTCCTGAACTTGCCCCACTTTCTCTGGAACAAGCCAAACCTGTTCGAGTCGATGAAGATTTTGATAGCCTTTTTCCACCACCAGATTTTGCCTTGTCTTCCTATGCCCAACCTGCAGAATCAGCTAGACATGATATGGCATTTTTAAACATGATTTCTCAGGTATGTGGTGTTTTATCCATTTCCCCAATTCCCTATGATCCCCATCCTTCTTTGTTGCATGTTAGTCCTTCCTCTCCTTATTTAGTTTTCCCACCTCCATGTATATTAGGGTTCATGCTAAGCAATTTGCTTCACAACTGATTGAGGATGCCAGTGTGCCTCGCCATCCACGAACTAGAGATCAGTATGCTTTGACTTACCATCAAACTGACTATCCATTTCTTGAATCTCTGCAGTTGGGGTCTATTTTACAGGGGGCATCCCTGATTTTCCTGTGCATTTAACTCATGCCCAGTTTTCATGCCATCGTCTTACCATTACTTAACTTCTATGGTATTTATCTACCATCCATCTCCTTTCTGAGGCAATACACTGAGATCCTGGGGGTCTTTTGAGGGACAGCCTCTCCTTTACCTCCACGTTGACTCATTTGTCTACTTTGGCTCTTGCTTTATACACATAGTTTTTCTGCTGTTGGGATTTTTCTGGGTCATGATGTGGCTTTGTCCTAGGTTCATTTGCTACCCACTTATCCAAGGGAATTACATATGGCTCCTTTTCTTCAGTGATATGTTTTTGACCATGTGCCTGAGACTTTGGAAGCACATGTGGAGTCTGTGCATCAACATTACCCTTTCCTATTTGATAGCTTGATTGTCAGAATCATGACAAACCCTTATTCCTGTTTCCTGTCCAAGGCCTTCTCAACCCTTACCTGTTCCTCCCTTCAGGGGTTCCTCATCTGGTTTTATTTAGTGTAGATGAGCTTGATGCAACAATACCAGTAACTACTCAGTGAGTTCCTGTCCAGTGGGAGCTTGATTGTGCAAATTTGTTCCTCTTTGGTAATCTTTTGCCACAGGTCAGTGGGTTATTTGGGTTTTATCAGAGTGACTTATCTTCCAATTTCTCCCCACACCCCTCCTCTGTCTTGAGTACCCCTTTTCTTCCCTATGCCTCAGGATGCTATCATCTGTCAGAGACAGTACACAACATTTTATCTCAGTGGGTCATCAAACCTGTTCATCATCTTTCTACAGGCTTTTATTCCAGACTGTTTGTTGTCCCCAAGAAAACTGGAGACTGGCAGCCTGTAATAGATTTGCCATGCCTCAATCAGTTTCTTAGTCTACCCTGTTTTACTGTGGAATTGTTTTTCAGTCTTAGATGGGCTTTTTTGCCAGTTTTGTGGATGACCAAGATGTACGTCGCAAATGTTTACTTGCATGTCGCGATATCTCATCTGTCGTGTCCATATCTTTGGTTTGTTCATTACAGGGTGGCTTATCAGTTACGCACAGTGCCCTTCGGGCTTGCTTCTGCCCCATATGATTTTTGTCAGGTGGTCAGAGCATTTGTTCATCACCTACATGCTCTCGGGTTAAACTTTCATCATTATATGAATGACTGGTTACTGTTATCTTGTTCCTAACAGGAGTCTGGCCGTCACACTCATCAGCTGCTCCTAGATGCGACTTGAGTGAGCTGGTTAATCAAATTGGCAAAGTCATTAATTTGACTTCGTTCTATGGAGCTTTCAGTTCTACACACTCATGAGGTTCTGTTGCTTTTGAGGATGTGGTCTTCAATGGTAGCACTTATTCCCTAAGATTGTGCTCATATGTGGGCTTTTCAGAACAAGTGTAATCTTGCATGGGATCCTTTGCAGGCTCATATTATCCTTCCTCCTACCCTAGTCAATGATCTGCAATAGTGGTTATACAAGACTTCACGTAGGCAGGTGTCCCACTTCCACCTCCTCCTCCACCAGATTTACACATTTTTACAGACCCATCCCTTCAGTAAGTGTAAGGTATTGATATGTGGCTGAAAGGTCTTATCATATCAACATCCTGGAGCTTCTTGCTGTACATTAGGTTTTGGTTTATTTTCTCCATCTGGCCAGAAATTGTCTGGTAATGATTCGTTCCAACAATTCTACAGCGGTTGCTTATCTCGATCACCAGGTTGGCACCCATTCTCAATCCCTCTCTATTCATACATTGGATCTTCATTTTTTAGGCCCATGCATAAGATATTCATATCATTGCATGTCATGTTCTCGGTGTTTTCAATCTTTTTGCAGATCGGCTTTCCTGTCCAGACAAAATCTATCTGATGGAGTGGTCTGTCAATCCTTTTGTTTTCCAGTGGCTTTGCTTTTCCCACATCCCTCAACCACAAATTATGTTTCGGTCTCCAGTCCCTCATCCTCTTGCTCTGGCTGTCAATGCTTTCAGCCAGGATTGGACCAACAAATACCTATGTTTTTTTTCCTCCCAATTGACTTCTTCACTGGGTGATTTCAATCATCCATACCACTTTGCATCAAGTTCTTCTGATTGTTCCTTACTGGCTGGTTCAGCTGTGGTTTCCATAGCTTCACCATCTCCAACTTACCCATCCCTTACCTCTTACTCAGTCTCCCTCCCTACTTCATCAACATTGGTCACCAGTGCTCCATCCAGCCCTTCATATCCTCCGTCTTCATGCCTGGTTTTTAATCTTGTCCTTGGCAAGGAGATCTGGCTTGTTCCAGTGAGTAGCTTCATTTTTGGCTCATTCCATTTGCCCTTCCTTCATGGAAGTAATCATTGTAAATGGAACGTTTTTCACTGTTGGTCTATGGGTCAAGGATTTTCTGCTGATCAAACCACAGTTTCTAATATTGCATAATTTCTTACTTGGCTTTACCCATGCCTGCTATGCCTTGCTTTGAATAAATTGGTATGGTCTGCTTTTAAAAATAGGGTTTCATGGTCACCCATTGCACTGTCTCTGGTGTTGTCATTCCTCCAGACTCTCCATCACGTTTCACTTCCCTTTTCTTTTAGTGGAGTTTGAGAGTCCTTACCACTTTCCAGTTCCCAGCTGCTGGGGTGATGGACTGTGGAGGCATCCTCATGAATGGGTTAATGAAATACAAACACAAAATAGAAATGATTATAAAACCATTCAGTTCAGAGTAGGGTGGTGGTGTTCTGCTGGTGTAGATGTGATAGCCTCCAATATGACATAAAAACAAATGGGAGTGAGACTTCAAAATTGCAGTTCACCCCTTAGATTGGGATACCTGGTCCTACCCCCATGTTGATGTTGGTTCCCAGTGGCTGGGTTTTGGACTTAGATTAGAACCAATCAAGATAAGCCCTCACACATGTATTACAGATGTATATATTCCTCCCTCGTTGATACTTCATCTGTGTTGTGGGTCACTGTGGAGGTAATTGTGGATTGTTATGGTTTTTCCTTTCTGCTATCCATCAATATTTCTTATTCTGAGGATGTTAATGTGCTTGGTGTGGTTCTGGTCAATTTTGCTTTTGAAGGAGGTGTTTTAGATTATGTATACATCATTTTGATAGCAGACGTCGGGTTCCTGGATCAATCTATCAATTTCTCATATTCACGTGTGTCCAGTTCATGGGTCATGAGGTACTAGAATCCCTCCACTCTCATGAACTTGAGGTGTAGTTAGTATGATCCTCTTTCCTATCCCTGCCAGATGGCAGGGTTTTGGATTGTAGTTGACTTGCAGGTGGTATGATCCTCTTTCCTTCCCCCATATGAGTATCTCTACCTGGTTTGGGATTGTAGTTGACTTACCAATGATATGATCTTCGTCCTTCCCTGCGGGGATCTCGGTTCCCAGCAGCATGGGTTTTGGATATAGTTGACTTACCAATGATATGAACCTCATCCTACCCTGTGTGGATGTTTGTTCCTAACAGCATAGGTTTTGGATGTAGTTGACTTGCCATGTACGGTCTGTCGTACCCTAGCCATTTTACACCTAGGAGCACATCCTTGTCATTTTACCCACTTTTATAATTTCTGGGTTGAATTTCATAAATATTGCATGGTTCAGATCACTTTCCAGTCATAGTTCTCTCCCAGGGGATGTGCTCCTCAGTTTTTCACCTATATATATAACATTTTCAACGTTGGGCGAAGAGTATACCTGGTTCAGAAGTTGCACAGTTCCCCATATCAGATCTTAGAATCTGACTGTCTCATCTTAATGAGTATCGTTTGGATTCTTTTGAAGGATGCTTCTTCCTTTCCCTGGCACTGATTCCTCCATCTATTCAATGTGGGATTTTAGCTATTTGTGTGAGATTAGGTAATGTACCGTATCGGAAGTTGTAATTTTCTTACATTGAAAATGTATTTCTGATAGGTACTTACCTCTCACCCCTTCTTTCACAGAACTATTTACTAAAATAAAACTAATAACTTTTTCATTTAATTATTTTAATTAATAAAACATTTTTCTTAGTCAAAATGTGATTCAAAACCAGAACTAACATGCACTCTGTTACATTTTGGATTATTGTGTATTTTAGTATCAGAGGAAACAGTGAAGCTTATTACTTTAAATTTACAATAGTTTAACATATGTTAGCAAACAGAAAAAAATTAGTTCAGTTCTACATTATTTGAAAAATGGGGAATTTAAAACAAAATTGTTAGGATTATTTCACTGAATTTTGCCAACATTGAACATTACAAGTTTTGTTTTGACTTGCTGGGGTGAACATCATATGAATGGAATGTGACAAAGCTGATGGTTGAGGTTTAACTTCAAAGTTGCGTCAATTTGTATGATTTTGCCCAAAATATATAATGTTTTTTTATTTATTTTTGACTGTTTTGAGAATGCTTGCTTTGTACCCTGTTTATCTACATAATGTCTTTGTGGGAAATAATATCTTCAGGATATAACATAGTGTTGTCCTAATTAACATGCATATAGTGAAATTTTGTTGCCATGGACATTATGTCCTAATTTAGAGGACTGTCCATTCAACCACCACATACCTAAAGCAGCTGGTAAATGAAATAGATACTCATGCTATTTCATATGAGGTCATACTGTTCAAGTCATCAGATGTGATACCTATGGATTTTTCTGTGATTAAACAATGTTGAAATGGTCATTAGGAAACTATCATTGTCATAAACTAGATGGATTATGGGAAGCCCACATGGAAGAATAATGTGGTTTGGACATGACTGCATTATGATGAAACCTGTTTCAGTGGAAACTGAACTGCAGGGCTGTTGTCAAGATGTATAGTCATTAGATAGAGCATTACTAGACATGGTGACATGGACTGTAATGACATCTAGTTTCCAAAATTATTTTACTGTAAAGTATTCAACTCTGTATTAATGTATCATTATGCAATGAACAATTTTTCTCAATAAAAAGTCTGGAATACCTTTATCAAGGCTGTTGTTTGTACATGCATTTGGTTTAGGCTTTTATTAAAAAGTATGTATTATGTAATAAATTAAAAATAGAGAATCTTTTACTTTCATATTTGTATGTTTGTGTGTAAATAGATTGGACTTTTTTAGATTAACAGTGTTTTTATGTGATGTTACCCTTAGCAACCCATGTGATGGGAACTGTAAAGTGGTTTAATGTGAAGAATGGATATGGGTTTATTAACAGGTCAGTTACTGCTTCTTTAATATTATTTTGTTACATTTTCCCACTGATGTAATTTTTCTTGATTTGCTATTATTTATTGCATAAATTAGATATTTAACTTATTTATAGATTTTGTTTTAAAATATTTGTGAAATGATGAACTGTGTATACTATAATAGCGAAGCCTACTGTGCTATTTTGGTTATCTTTATCACAGAAACAAGTAATACTGTGGTGGGTGTAAATCAATTAAAAAAACAAAAAAAAACTGTTCACATCTGTATTCCTATAAACAAAAAGGCTGTTTCATTAAGTGAAAAAATGAAGCTTCAAATCTTGTACAATTTGCCTCAAAAGATTGTTGAGCCATTTGTGATCAGGGGATGGAAGCAACCTTTTACCTGTCATTTGAATAAAAAATTAATCTGGCTAAGCCTGTCATTTGTTTGAATGTTATGCTTGGACATCATGTCCTGTTGTTTCAAAGAGTTAATGGTCGTTCACTATTGTATTCTTATACACATGGAATTTATTTTGCAATATCATCTAGCAACAAATGAGATTTAGCTGTTCCATTTCAATAGGAATCAAAGGTTGTTTTTGTTAACATCATAGTTGACCATAAGAATCTTAATTCTGACCAATCACAAAATTTGAAGGAAAAGTGCAGGTTCAGTGTGATGTCATCCATTCTTCAGATGTAAATAAGGCATCTTGTATGAATTAGTGTTATCCATTCATTCTTCAATTTTTATTGGATGTCTATTCATGAATATAAATTACCCTAAATTAAAGTAGTGCTAGAATTTTTTTGCCCTGAGATGTGAAGAAAACAGATCAGAAAGACTGTATATGAGTATTTATGGGCAGGATTTCTTAGTAAAATGTACTGACTGTCTTGTAAAATTTCTGTACCTTTGAAAAATTTCGATAAGCATTGCGACTCCTTTTTATCTGCTGTCAGTAGATACCATATCATTAGGCAATATCAGTAGCACTTGAAAATTAACTTGATTAATTGTTTACCTATGAGCATTGATTAGTGTCACTTAAAGTTGTTTAATAATCAAAATTATGATTAAGTCAATTATGACAAAGAATAATCAAATAATGAAAATTAGTGTTCCTAATTATTCAAACTATTCAAATAATTATAATATTAGTATTGTTATTTCTCATAAATTTTTGATTAATTCAAAGTTGTTAGGCTTAATTGATTAGTGACATGACTCTCAAAAATAATCAACTAATTGAAATTAGTGTTTCCAGTTAGTACTATTTTCAGTTATTCCAACAATGAAAGTCTTGTGAGAATAATCTGTTAAAGAACTTGACACTTAATCAGTTATCAAATTCTACTGATTGCCAAGCTCTAAACATCAAGATACATTAATCAGTTGGCAAGCAGTAAGTTATAAGCATAATAATATGATTTATTTGGAGGGGGGACATACTGCATGTTTTGACAGAACACTGGTCTCTCTGTCTTCAGGTATGGTGTGTAAGTAAGCAATAGAGGGTTTATATATAAGCAAAGAAGCAAAATGCACAAGGATTTAAAGCAAAGGAAATTATGTCACTAGGTGGCAGGATTATAGATAAATTCTTGTATCTTTTGTATATAAACCCTGTATTGCTTAGCTACACACCAATGTTCTGTCGAAACATGCATGTTCCCTCAAAAATGAATCACTTTATTATGCTTATAAATCATTGTTTGTTAACTTATTATTATATTAGCATATTGTACTTCTTTACTCAAGTATCAGGATATATACTATTGCTTAATCTATTTAATTTGGCTTTCTGTGCTATAGTAAAAACTTATTTTCCATTATTTTTCTACATGAGATTAGTCTGGTTTTACTACTGTGGATAGATAAAAACCAGTGCTTTAGATTTGAAAATCACAGGAGAGTGATATTACATCAATGAAGAGTATTAGATGACATTAAAAGTTTTACTTGTTGCCAGAGTGCAAATATACAATTTCAAAGAAAACTCCTATGAATCATTAATGCTAATGCTGTAAAGTTGAAAAATAAACTTACATTTACCACTGAGTAGAAAATTTTAGTTCTGCATAGGACAATTAACTTGTCTCTACACTATCATATTGAAAGGTGCATAAAACTTTTGAACATGTGTCAATATCAAAATATTTGCTTTCATTAGGCAAAGTCAGGGTAACAGCATTATGACAGTAATGGTTTACTCATACATGTACCTAGCAAATACATTATAGTAAAAGCTATATTAATAGGTACAAACATAAAGTTTAGAAATTGCTTTAATTTAAATTTTATTTCTAATTTAATACTGTTTATCAACAAAATAAAAAGAAACTAAACACAATTAGATCAGTGTGACTAGCATCAAGTTTGTGACTGTCATCTCATTTCAAATTATAGGCTGAAGTAATGCTCAAGTACTAAGTAATGCAAAATTTCTAGAAAGTGTAGAAATGTTCATTTAGAAATTTTGAATAACCAAATATTTTGTTTTCTACTCCAGTCCTCCAGGAAGCTTTCTATTGCACTTAAATTCATTTTCCCACTTTGTTTGGCATGCAATTCTATGACTGGAAAACAATTTCATAATTTTGTTTTTCACCATAAGTAATGAAAAGTGAAAAATTGTATTATACACTCAGGTCAAAGTCTTAAAGTTGAATTTATCATGTGTGTGTATGTATATTTATTTATAGTTTGAAAATGAATATAGATTTTTAATCTTATGTAGTACTACCTAAATGCAGATGAGTGTAATTTTTAAGTAAGTACATGTTTAATACCCATATAACGTTGCACTGATGTATGAATTGGCTGTTATAGTGCCTTTTAAGTTTTAGAGCACTTGAGTTATCCTGTAGTGTGAAATGGTATTAGCTTGGCACAAAACTACAGAATGCCAGTAGTATAAACTCTCAAGTGGAAGTTACAGGTGTATAAGGTGAGTTATAAATTGTTTAGCATTTAAACTTGAACTACATGCAGAAAATATTCAGCACAATTTAGCCGCATAATGTCAGCCTAATTGTAGAGACCACTGTAATGTTATGCAAAAAACAAATATACAAAATTGCTTTAATCACAAAATATATGCAAAAAAAAGATATATATTAAGAGAAATATTAATTACATCTGGTTTTTTCATTGCTTCGTATTGTCACGAGGCAGCAGTGCCAGATGTTTAATGCATAACAAGACTGACAAATGGTGAAAAACATAAAAGTGCTGCTGCAGAATAGAGCAATTTTTACAAAAGGATTTTTGATATGCAGAATTATGTAATACAAATAAAATGTATATATTTATTATGCTATTTTTTATTTCATTTTCTCATGCAGTTTAAGAACTTGTTTTTAAAAAATGATTTGTTGGTTCTTTGACTAAAAGTTGTAATGGTTGATGCGTGTTAAGATTTTGTATGACAAAGAGCATGAGAGGCTGGTGTGATAATGTTTTTAATTGTGCTAGGTGATCTACTGATTTTCTAATTAATTAGCTGCTGAAGATATACTGATTTATACCTAAAAAAAAAGAAAGAAAAGAAAACGTATAAAATCTAAGTTACTACATTTTCTGTAGCATTAGTTTGCCAAATCTACACATTTTCTATTATTATTAATATTATTTTAGGAATGCACTAGTCATCAAATTGTCACACTAAGTCTGTTCAAAACAAAGATTGGTAATTGAGAAGGCCATTGCGGCAACACTTTTTATACATCATAATTCCAGGATGTTGTTTGCATTGGTTTAGGACATGAAGATAGTGAAAACTAGAGCTAGACATTTAAATGCTAATTATAAAACTTGTATAGCTACACCTCATGTTAGCTTGTAATAATATTTACTGTTATTTTGTTCATTACAAATAAAACTATCATGCAATGTACATTCAGATGTATTAAATATAAAAATTTTTTAGCACTATTTTGAAACAATTTAAGCATATTTAGTGAGAACTATCGGGTGGTCTGCTAGTCAGATTAGAATATGGTCATGACAGAAACGTATAATATTTGTTATTCTCACATAAATGTAACTTAGTATATATATATATATATATATATATATATATATATATATAGTTGTTTGGTAGTGAGAACAACTGCACACTACTAATAATTAATAATAAACTAACTTACTTACTTAAGTAGTATAGTTACTAGTTGTTTAGGTAGTAACTAACTTA